GGAATTGCAGGATTAGGTATCTTGAGTGGGATTTAGCACGTACTCAGCTTTGGGGGTAAGAATATGCAGATCAGTACTTCAACTGCCACATTAAGAAATGAATATTATTGCCAATTTTTAAAGCTACTTGTTATAGCTTTTATAGGGAAACCAGTGGGAAAAGGTCAAACCTTTTAATGAAGCCTTAGAAATTGGTAATGAAAATGTGTGTAAAGTAAGAGCATATTGGACCCTTTAAGTCTTAATGCTAGCCCATTTGTCAAACAGAACAATGACAGGTTTGTCACTACAACTCCACCTGTGTATACCCTGCAGGAACAGGATTAAGGAAAGGAATGAGATGAGTGTGCCAAATTCTTAATGTAACTGAGCTGACCTGTCTTGTTCTAACCAAACCTTTTCATTATATCTAAGCATATTTGCAAATAAGGCAGTACATTATTCAGTTTTCCTCAAGGCTTTTAACTAGAAATGATGTTAGTTCAAATACTGAACTGGAAATAACACTGTGGAGGCAACTTTGTAAGCATAATGGGTAGACTTACATGAGACAAAACTGAATTTTTAAAAAGTGCTGTAGAGAACATGAGTATGGATGAAACATCTTTTTTAAATTTGCCATTCAAAGACACACAAGAGCTGAAGCCCAGGAGAATTACTTAAGCAATTAAGTGTTTGAGCACATATTTGTCCCATTGAAATCTTGAAGATTTCTAACCAAAAGGTTTAATGGCTTCCTGTAATGTCATTGAAGTTACCAAATAAGGTTCTAAGACACAGGTGAGGTCTGTAGTTATTTCACAAACTTGAACTGAGTTTTTCTGTAGCATCATGGTCCTTTTGACCCTACAAAGCAATAGCTCTTGAACACAGCTAAAAAACGTGCTACCTGACCTAGGAGAACATTCACAAACAATCTTGTAACCAACCCATTGTTTTTTAGCACTTTGGACATGAAGGATAGGGACATGACAAAAACATCAGGTTATAGGAAACAATTCCCATTACCATGATAAGGAAATGGGAATGTTGCCTAACAGGCCCTGTGAAGGTCATGCTGTGTATTCTGAAGCTGATCACTGGCAGAACCTTACTGACTGCCTGGGGTGCTCTGCGTGTGATGGAGTAGGAGGATGGTGAGTGGCTCAGTAGAAGGCAAGTGCCATTTAATTAAAATAAGGAGAGGAGGAAATACCAGAATGTTGTGTTGATGTCCCACTGCTTTGGCTGACAGTGGTTACTATTTACAAACACAGCTGCTTGTCACTTAATCCATGTCCATATAGGCTACTGTTGCTTCATGGAAACAAAACTTACTTCTGCTGGTCAATTAAAAAATGTTTGTGCAGAGCACTTCAATAAGAAATTGTAAAAAATATCTGCTCTGTGCATGCTGTCGGTTTTACAAGGTACTGAGTGATGCAGCCCAGTGTAGAGCTAGTGATGTGGTTTCCCAGAAAGGCATAATGACAAGATGGAGTTTTTGGCACCTCTTTGAAACAAAAGCTATGACATGCAGATGAGCACTTATAGACTGGGATATAAGCAATGCAGTATTAGTTTTCCTTATTACAGGAAAGTAGTGTAGGTGGTAGGTTTTGGTGATGTCTTACTGCCTTTGTACAGTGCTAGAGTCAGTTAGCAGATAATCAGCAGCACAGCAGCTCAGCAGGGAGAGACCTACTGAGTAAAATACCAGTAGTATGTGAATGTTGCAGTATAGATTTAATTCCTTGTGCTCAATGAACTAATGAGTGAGGAAAGAACAACTAAAAGCCTCAAGGGAGCAGCAAGATTTTACTTAAGGTTATTTATTAGACACCTAAACTTAAAAAGACTGCTCAGTCAAAAAAAGGCGAATGCCATTTTGTAGAATTTTGTCTACTCTTTCAAAGGTATGACTTCTTCCTATTCCCATACCCCTATTACTACTTTAACTTTAGGTTATGCTGAAATGGGCAGACTTGCTTAATCTCTTGAGATTACTGAAAAATATTTGAAAATACTTTGTTTTCGGTTTTAAATTTTTGATATCTTAGGTGAAAAATTTGCTAATATTTTGCATTATTCTTGCTCAGTTTGAAAAAATCAAACACTTGGATATGAGAACTATTTCTAATACTTAAGTATTAGAAGTAATGCACCACTCTTTATTCAGCTGATTTGTGATGGAAGAGAAAGATAGAATATCCTCAGGGGAGGTTTAGCCTGGGTATTAGAAATACCAGAGGGTGTTTGGGCACTGGAACAGGCTCCCCAGGGCAGTGGTGGCAGAACCAAGCCTGATAGAGCTCAAGAAGTGTTTGGACAATGCTCTCAGACACAGCGTTTGACTTTTGGGGATGGTGCTGTGCAAGGCCAGGAGTCAGACTCGATGATCCTTGTGGGACCCCCTGCACAGGATAACCCCAAAGGGAAGCTCCAAAAATTACACCATGTGTCTGGGAGTAGAATGGGAAATTTTGAGGAAAATCCAGTGAAAAACAAGGGTGATGATAGAACCCATGGGAAGGCAAAGTTCAAATTGTCTTCTCTTTGTTCTTTCAGGGCACATTATGCTCTCTCCCCTACCCTTGCACTACAAGTATACTGTTAGCTTACACAAAGCCAATGGAAAGGCAAGAAAAAAAATTGCTTAAATTACATTTTATTCTGTCAGTCTGACCTCTTCACAAAATCTGATAGATAAATGACTTTTGGTTTTTTTCTGTCTAGAATTCTTCCAAACCTCAAATTGTGTCTTTGATAGTTTCCTGTTTAATTTAGTTCTGAAAAGTGTTCTTAGGGAGTTTTTAATGATTAGTATTATTGTACTGAGAAAAAAAGACTACAGCTTTGACCACTGTCATGGTTTGAGCCTGGCACAGAGCCAGTGCCCCCCATGAAAATGCCCTCACCCCGGTGTCTGCTGTGAGATGTGACCAGGAATAAGCAAAACAGGCTTTAGCTTAAACATAAAGAACATTTTATTACCTAAACTACAGGAAAATAGGGAAAAACTATAAGGAAAAGAAAAAAAATTGAAAACCTTACAAAAAAACCACTTTCCTCCTCCCCACTACCTGACTTTCTCAATCCGATACATTCTCCCAAATCACCAACTGCCCAGCCTGGCACCACACTTTAGTATACTCAAACTTCAGTTCATGAAGAGGAAAGGAGTCCTTCTTGTTCCATAGGCTTCCCCTGGAAACACACTGAAACCTCGTGTGCTTCCCTGTCACTTCGGCACCGCCCGGAAAAAAGTCCTTTTGCCGCTTGTGACATCTTCCTTCCATGCCCAGTGCTCTCACCACTGTGCATGGCCAGAGCTGCTTTTAGGGTTGTCTTTCAAGGATGCCTTGTCTCACTCCAAAAAGGCACAGTCTCTGCTTTGGGACATCTGTCCCCCCCATATTTTTCCAACCCCCCCTGGGGCTGGGGGGTCCTCACGATGAACCCTCCTGGTTCTGAGCCACTGCTTCCCCCTAAGTGCAGTCTCTGTGTCACAGGAACAGAGTCCATGGCCACAAGAAAAGTCCAGCCAAAAGGCCACTCCAAATCGTCTCTCCCCATTCAATCATCTCCACGTTCTTCGGGCCAGGTCCTTGTCTCATCTCATCTCTTATCTCCCTTCTTATTCAGCTTTGAGGAGGATTAGCATTTTTGCAAGGCCCCAATCATGAAAGAAAGGGGTTAAAACTTTCAGTCTCTGTCCCGGAGCTGCGGCACTCCCACACACGCTGCTGCTCCGGCCGGGCACTCTTCCCCCCCCCTTCTCCTCCTGGGCCGGCTGCTATCACATTCGGTGTCGCCGGCTCTCTCTCTCCCTCCTGGGGGGGGAGGATGGCTGCCCGAGGGCTGACTCCCTGGGATCTTCCACCCTTCCATCCTCGAGGGCCTCCTCACCTCCCATCTCTGTCCAGGCCCAGGGCCTACCACGTGGCTGCCCCTCCCCCGCCCAGCAGCAGCGGCTGGACAGGGGAGGGAGATCCGACTTCTTCTCCACGACGTCCCAAGAGAACCTCCCAGGGCCAGGGCCCTGCTTTTTAACCCCTGTGTATTCTCGGAGGTGTGTCCAAACCCCACTGGCTACACCAGGTGTCAGTATCAAACTCCGAACATCCATTGGTTTGACCACAGCAGCCCAGAATTCCCACTTCTTCCTGGTCAAACCACCACAACCACAAATAAGACTTCTCCTCTTCAACAGTTTTCTGGCAGAGCAGCCGTAGTAAAACTCTTTATAACTTAATTAAGAGGAGGGAAGAAGGGAAAACAGGAGAGGAACAACCCTCCCTCTGTCGAAAACAGAAAGTGTGCCTTCTGATGGAAAACATAAATAGTTTGTTGTTATTTGTTAGATGTAGAACCTTCATGTGCAATATGTGCTTAAAAATATACACTGATATGATAATGCTATGGTTGAGTTTGAAAAAAAACAAAGCCATTTGAAGATATGTATTGGTATAGCAATGACTGTGCTTAGATGCAGATGTGGTTTACATGGGGATTTTCAAATCATCATGAATGTTGCCCTTGTACTCATCTATGATGGATGAGGAATAAAAGGAGTTTGGTGTTGCACACATATCTTTGGGCATACTGTATACAACATCAATTAAATCTTTATGGAAAAGTAACAAAGAATAGGGTTTTTTTCTCTATCATTTAGCAACCGTAGATGCTCACTTTTTCTGTGATAAATGTCAAAAAAATTACAGTCAATTGGAGCCACGGAACTGCATTTATACATAGAATTAAACATTGATACTATCAGTTGCTGTTCTCAACAGGCTTTTTTGTTATATTAATCTTGTCAGTTCTATTTTACCTTATGAGCTTTTGCAAGTAAAAGCTTGTGGAAATTTTCCTCTCTGATAGTTGAAAAGCTTTTTGAGGTTCCTTGACATCTCTGACCTTCTTATATACCTATGGAAAATAAAAAGGTATAACAGTTCTAAAATGGAAAACCGAAGTGCTGTGTGATAAAACCATCTTTTTTCTTTTCAGTTACCTCTCCATTGCTTTTGAAAAGTCAGACGCGTGCAGCTATAAAACAACTGGTTTGAAAGACAAAAACCCAGGTGCTGCTATTTGGCCAAATCGTTGTGTGCTAAAGGTAAATTTCTACTATCTTGCACATTTGAAGACTGATGCCTAAAATTAAAATGCCAAAACAGCATTAATTGTAGGAATTACTGTGAAGATAATTGTAAAATGTTTATTTACTGACATGATAGAGCTATTCTAATAAAATGATTAGGACAAAAAGAATCCCCTTTTAACGGTTGTGCTGCTAGTGGCTGAGCAGAGCAGCTGCCTTGTGTAGCTGTGCAGTAAAGACAGCAGCTAGAAGTGGAATTGCTGTTGCCAGTTGCAACATGGGCACTTGAACCAGAACTTTTTGCTGGTTGTCAGCTCTCTTGCAAGACTTTTGCCGTTAGACTTCAGTCATTAGGAATGACACTAGATTAGTAGTGGAACACTAGGTGAGACATCTTCCTGTAATTTAACAGGATTAGAGGTGTCTTGGAAGAGGGAGAGGTTTACTAGGCTATATTCTTTCATGGTGGAGTGTTTATTGTCTTCAGCATCACCTTTCTATGCTTGCAGGGAGCCTGGGGCTCCAGACTGTATCACAAAACAACTTTTTTGTCTGGATCTGATATCTGAGTGAACCCTCCATCTAAACAAGACCCTGATCAAGACTGAGGCCTAGCTTCAGTTGAGGGTTGCCCTAATTGAATAGCATGTGGAGGTTTTGGCTGGAAGAAAAGAGGTATGGATATCTTTGGCTGGGATGAATTTCTGTAATTCGCATTCTTCATTTCCCTAAAGACTATGGGACTTTTCATTGTTCCAATAAAATAAGGGCTGCTTGAGCTTAAGTAGGCTACAGGGCTTCTTGAGGGTAACACTAAGACCTTCCCTCAATATTTGACATTCCAAATTATTAGTCTTTTGCATTTCTTCTTAAACTGGAAGTGCTTCCATTCAATGCATGGAATGTGAATGATTCTTTCCAGAATTATTCTTCAAGTAGTACCCAGGGACGTTCAGATTGGATAACAGGAAAATTTTTTTCACAGAAATGGTTGCCAGGCCTTGGAGCAGGCTGCTGTGGCTGAATCACTAGCCCTGAAAGTATTTATAAGATGTGTAGATGTGGCATTTAGGCATATGATTTGGTGGTGGAATTGAAAACATTAGGTTTACAGTTGGATTTAAGCGGGTTTTTATTCCTTGCTTAAAAGATTCTATGATTCAAAGCGTATGACCATAACGTTAAGATCAAGTAACTCTAAGTGTAATTAGCTGCTTTACCGACATGGCTTGCCACTTCAACAGTTTGTGTGATTATGGAAGAATTGCTGCTAAGGCCAAGTTAATTCTCAAGAATGGGCATCATGCCACTGACACAGCTGGCTATAATCCCTTTGTAGTCACTAGTAGAAAAAAACAGCTGAAAAATGGGATTTGTCTGATCTTTACAGGCACACCTACCTTAGGATGAAATAATCAATTCCTCAGAAACACATTTTTTCTTTGGCTTTTAAAGAAATTTAAGTGAGTATCCAAAATTGCTACCTATTATACCTACATTGTAGGTGTAAAACAGTTTGACACAACTGTAGAAATAATGCTTACCTAGAATGCCTGTCTGATTAAAATTCATTAGGAAAATTCTTAGTTATTAAAAATATTAATAGATATATCCTGTATGATTATCCTGACCTCTTTGTTACCATGTTAATAGTCCTAGTAATTGTTTCTATATATAAAGCCATTAGTGTGCAGCTAGTAATTGCTGCCTATCAGCATGCTTTAAGACTTAAACACTAGCATTTAGAAAAAAGTTATATTTTTGCCTTTTCTGTTCCTCTGAAGCTTTCCGTGCTGGTCTGGTTTATCATGTGCACTTACAATTCTCTCATGAAACTGGATCACAGGATGATAATAATAATAATCTTTGTATAATAATCTTTTTGCTTCCTTTTGATGGCATTGTTAAAATAGTTTTAAAGCAAGAGACAATAAATAGTTTTAAATTATTACTAATTTCTTCATAAAATTGACAATTAAAACATATATTTTGATTTTTTTTTTTTAATCCAGTGTTCAGATCTTATAATAGTTTGGGAATATTGACTATGTCTCCAAAGGCATGTAGTATTTTCTTTGGCTCACTTCATTCTTGCTTCTCCTATAGGAGTTCAGTTGTGAAGAATAAGCCTGTGCAGTATTCATATACTCTCACTGATGTCTTTTCTATAAAAATGGGTCTCAGAATAGTGTGCAGGGACTGGTATTTCATAATTTTATGCTGGGGGGAGGGGTGCTTGGTAGAATGAATAAAGTATAGTTAAGCTGAATTTGCTATCTTGCTATCTGTAATTTCAGGGGAAAAAATATTCCTTGATATGATTTATGGAAAAAGAAAAGCACAATCTAATATCTTCAGAGAACAGATAAATTTGTGCTATGAAATCACATTGACTATTGTGTTAAAATGGAACTGAAGCTTTACATTTAAATATAAAGCTTGAAATTGCAGGGTTGTTGTTTGTTGGGTTTTTTTTTTGTTGTATTTCTCATTGACCTGACCTGTAAATTACAGCGAGGGTAATGCAAAACACACACTTAATTTAATGGTTGTCATCCAAGTATTCATTAAATGATGAATAGGTGCTTCTAACACGGCCAAAGCTTAATTGTTTAAAAAGAGTTCATCTCAGATGCAACATTTCAAGACTCGATTCAGGTAATTGTTGTAGTTGACTACATTAACTTGTTTGATGTATTGGCTTTTCATGTTTTCTTCATCTTAATTAGAAAATATTTAACTATATCAACATTGTCTCCTTGAGTAATGGGAAAGAAGACCTGCTAGCTGCAAAGTTGTCTTCTGTTGCCTGCAGCTTAATTCTGAAAAGCATATGACAGTAATCACACTAAAGGGCTTTGCCCCGCTTGGGGTTCTCTCCTTAATTTAGACATCTTAATATACCAAACAGGTTCAGGGAAAGGCTGGAACTTATGGTGCCTCTTGACACTTCCATGTGCAGTGTTGGTTTGGTTTTTTTGATAATACAGGATAATACATTTAAGTTGGGTCACTTTTCAAGCCTGCTAACTGAAGAAAATACTCTAATTCAAGCTGCTGGCATTATGGAAGAGGTTTTAAATTAGTGAGAAGATTTTGTAGTCCTCTTTATATGCAGCTGTTTAACTCTAGGAAAAAAAAAAAGTGAATTTTTAAAATGCTGCTACCAAGAAAATACAATTTATTTTGACTTTTTTTTTTTTTGTCTCAAACTAAGTGACAGAAATTTGCTGTTGTGGCAGCTGGAGAAAAGCAAGAAGTAGGTAAGCAGCTGATACACGTATAAAGCTGATAAAAGAGTTAAACTGGACTTTGGATTGTAAAATTATCTCAACTTGTAAGTGCTAGAATTAGTGCAAGATTAAAAAAGTCACCCCAATATAGCAAAATGGGGTACTCACTGGGGTACAGCTAATGTGCTATCTTATCCAAATGGTAATAGCACATCTGCAGCATGAATATGTGTGTAAGAAAAAATAAATTCCTTCTAAACTTGTAGCAATACAGCAACTCATAGTATCTCAGTGTTTTGAAGATGGGGAGCAAATGAGGAAGAAGAGCAATTTGTACTCACCACAGAAGTATTCATGATGTTCTACAGTTGGTGTTTCTGTGTTTAGCCACTTCTCCTTGAAAAAGTATGTTCTGACATTATAAGGACAAATTTTATGTGCTTGAAAAGCAAAAATAGGGAATAAAATATCCAATGGTTTACCTGACATAAGAGAGACCACTTGGAAAAGAGCAGTACAAAGACCTATGAGTCTTCTTGGTACTGTCTCCCGGCTGTGAAGTATAAATAGCTCTTTAAATATTGTGTGAACTGTTATTGATAACCCAAAAGTCATTGAGCATATCAAAGTAAGATATTTTTAAAAGAATGAAGGATGTCTGGAAGATAATTGTAACCTCAAAGAGACAAAACAGGTCTCACAGGAAAATGGCAATATTTTAGTTTTGCTGGTCTCTATGTCTTTACTGTTTCTCTGATTTTAACACAGAAATCATTCCTTTCAAGTACTTCTAAAGTGTTTGCTAAAAACAGAAATTGAGACTTGAGAGCTACAGTCACATTCAGCCTGGACCACATACTGCTGCACTTGCTGTTTGAAAGTCAGGGCAAGTTGGCGGTACAGTGAATTACATTTATTATAATTCACTGTCACATTGGCTTGAGGTGAAGAGCACAGTACACGTAAACATTGCTGTAGAATAGGTCTGATGCCACTTGCCACCTCTTGAAGTCATCCTGGAGATAAGCCCATAAAGGAAGCAGAATCTAATTAAAAGCAAGAAAGCACATAATGTTTTGTTACCGGTGTCAGTTCTACTTTAGAAGCCAAATAGTGTCAGAGAAGTTCCTGCCAAAGGTTTGAATTATATGGCTGAAATCCATCAGAAACAACCGAAGATGATTAGAGACAAGCTCAGATGGAAACCTGAGAGAACAGTTATTCAAATTTGTTCTCTTTCCCTAAACAAGCCCTGTGAGAATGCTTAGTGAACTAAATTGGGCTGTTACGGTCTGAACACTTTTGTACTTCACTTTTTTCCCATTCTCCTTAATTTCTGCATGGGTAATACCTGTAAGCTTGGTTTGTGCAGTCATCACAGTGGAACATATGTATAGCTAGCTCCTTAAATTTTCCATCTGATCAGCCAGCTAATTGCTGAAGGAAAAATTTCTTACACTCCCAGCTTTAGGCTGTATGATTTGAGCAAAGTATGAGTTATCTGTTCAGCTTGACTTGAAGGTTTATTTTCTGAAAAAACAAAATTTTCTTTTAATCTCTTTAGGCAATTATACGATTAGAGGACAAAAAATAAATTAATGAAAAATAGGGAAATAATTTTTCTGACTGCTCTGAATTAACGTAAACTATAAAGGAATAAGTTATTCTTACACAAGGTAAACTGACCAGCAAACAAAAACATAAGCTTTGTGGAATTAATTACTTGAAAGAGGTCACCTACTGCTCAAAAATGTCAAAGGACTAGTTCCTAAATTTTATTCA